GGTTTTTCCTCTTCAATAACTCAGAAGCTCCTCCCTCTTTTTGGCTTGCTTGTACTGCCTGTATTGCTGCTGCACTACAGTCCGGTATTTTTCCAAATTTGGAATAGCGACGATCTACATCAGCGATTTTTCTAGAATCAAATCATAAGCTAAACCTGATTGGTTAAAATTTTTATATATAAGAGCACGAATAGTAAAAAAGAATACTTCGTTTTAGAATGTGCATTTCTGCGACGAATACTTCAGTGCCAAGTAAGCAGATCAAGACATGCTATGTTTGAGTTTACATAATATGTGTATTTATAGTGCTCTGATTAGAAATGTTTTATTACCGCTAAACTGTCAAACAAAAATTTTAATACCTTGTAAGTGCATAATCTTTATTCGAAACTTGCTTTTTAAAATTTAATATGATTTAACTAATTTATTATTAAACAGTCGCAATCGTGTTATATGTTATTAAATTAATGTTACTTGAGTTAATTGGCAAACAACTCTCCAAGATCAACTAGGAATATAAAACGTTTTATCAAGTTAAGTGTTAACATTGCTGTTGAAGTATAATCTTGCACTTTATTCAAATTGAAGTTTAGTGATTATCTTCATATTATTCAATTTACTCAATTTGCAAACCGTTGATGGCCAAGAATTCTTACGGCAGGTGTATTGATATAAGTGGCAATAACTTCATGCATACGATGATTCATCAAGGCATTTGTTTAAATTTTTTTTTTCATCAATTATTTTAATGGTATTTCTGTATAACTTTAATAAAAGCGTTCAACTTTTTATTTACATTTTCTGAATATATTTAGGCTATTATTTAACTATATTGTCTCTTCCTCTTCGATTTCATCAGTATCAGTTATATTATGAAGATCTCGAAGTTGCTGCAAAATTGTTAATAATTCATCCTTTCTTTTTGATCTTAATCCCCTAAATTGTGGCCGTTTAGCTTCATTTAGGGATTCAATTAATGTTTCAATCGTGAATATTATTTCTTCTTTTTTTAATGAACTTTCAGCTGACTGCAATTGTGCTTCATCAAAAGTAACGGGAATAGTACGGGTAAGCTCAGATGAATTAATTAATCCAAATTTACCTTTAATATAATTCATACGTTTGGTTTGAGCTTGATGACTGAATGACTTCATTTGTACACTTAATTTATTAGTTTTATCCAAACTTTCAAAGCTACGATCGTTTTTATTTGGATTTAGAAAATTGGTTTTCCTCAATTGAATTCGAAACCGCTGTGATTCAGTTTCAAAGTCTGGACGAGTTCGTGGACCTGAACTTTCAGAATCTGCATATTCCATTGTAGCAAACAACTTTTTTCGCAGCTACCAGAAAAAAAAATTATCAGAAAAAAAAAAAAAAGTAAGTATACATTAATAACAATAATATATACTCTTACTTTCATAAATTTTGTGCAATTTCTTGCAGCCATTTTCCAGTGCTTTTGAGTTGGTATAGGTGGAATCAGTGTTTTTAATGTTTTATTTACTTCTTCAAGTATAGCATCTAGTCCCTGATGCTGATTTGACCATCCTGACCGTGCTATGACAGAATTTTGTACGATAATTTGATGAATCTCAGGACGAAGGCGCATTAATTGTTCCTCATCAGCTACCTCAAGTGCTTGGTAAATAGGGTGTCGCCTTGCAGACCAAATAGGGGCAAACATCCTACGTGCAGCTGATTTAAGTAAAGGCTGGTTGTATCTAACACCCATACGAAAGTTTATTATTGCTTGTAAGTACCAAAAAATCTAAATATAATTTAAATATTAATAATTTGAAATTTAAATATTTATAACTATAAATTTATTAAATACCATTTCATATTTTAACTTAAATAATTCGTCCTTTTGATTTTTAGCCCAATCAAGAAAACCACTAACAGATGGATTAGAAACTGAAGCAACGTATGGCCAAACCAATTCCATCGCCATTGCATGCCGGTAAATATTACACACTGAATCCCATGCTTTATGGTGATCTGCACATTTTTTAAAATAACCCAATTGATTTTCAGACCTATATCCCTGGCATTGCACGAAATATCGTAAGTCAATGGCCCTATGTTTATAATATACAGTAATAAAAAAAATTATAAATTAAATTTACTTTATATTTTAAAATTATAGCCAATTATCAATATAATGATTGCTGACGCATTTATGAAATTTATTATATATCGGTCAGTAATTTAATAATTAATTATTAAATGGGTTAGAAAATTTTACTATACTAATCTATATTACAATCTCTTTAAATTGACTGTTAAAAATTTAATACTTGCGCCTGATTCATTAAACTGATGAATCTGGCATAGGGATATTCGTTATTTTGATAGCTGACTATTAGTTTGAAATCGAATTTATACCAGTTCAATTCTACAAAAGCCTTTAACATATTCATTTCCTCGTGAAGTGGACCAGGTAACAATATAATTCCTGGATATTCATTTTTGAATTTTTGTGCATAATGGTAAGGAATTCCATCACAAACTACTACAATCCATTTTCGACTACCATTATTAATTCCACTAATTTTTTGAATATGATCGAAGACCTTACGAACGTTATCAATAGAATTTGGATTAATTGGTAAGGGGTCAGGTACAAGAATATCGGGTGTATTAACGTTGCCTTGGGGTTTTAATTTTTGGGTTATACTAATTGGATTTATATTTTTATCTGATATACTGTGTTGATAGGACTTAAAAATTAGCGACAGATGAATCTTTTTTATCGGATATAGTTTGTTCATTTTCTTGTTGAGTTTCAGCAAGTGTAGGAAGTTTTGCATTACATTGAGGACATTTACGCTTAGAGTTTTCGATTTCATTTTTACCACATTCACGGCATTGTTTTTGATTATTTGTTTTAGCACTTTGATTAATTACCAAATTATCAATAACGTTTATATTTTCACTTTTTTCTTTAGATAATTCAGTTATGATAGTCAAAAGATAATCGTGAAGCTGGCGGTCAAGTAATATTTGCATTTCCGAAGTGAGGCCAAATAATTTCTCAATTTGTGACGCGTCAAGATTTTGATTTAACCAAGGACTTTCGAAATTTTGTATTTGATTATTAGGATTAAAATTAAACAAAACAAAGCTAGTAACTGTATGAAAAGTTACTTTATTATGTCCACGATCTAAGTAGTTTTTTTGTCCTTTTTGTTCATTATCGAATGCCATAAATACCAACCCATTTGGAAATAGCTCGGGATTACCTGCTAGATTTTCTTGCCATTTAATAAACTTAGTAAAACTACCAGAACTTATAATATAACTATCGATATCAATTATTGTTTTAGATTTGGCTATAGAATACTTTATTGCCGATAGTGCTAAATTAGCTGCGGATACATATTTTAGATGTCTTATTCCATATATAATATCAATTGCTATAGCACATTTAAAAAGTTTTTCGCCTTCATAATGGTCTTCATTTTCATTGTATGTAAGAGTATTTATAAATTTTACTACAACTGGGTTACGCATAGCAAGCCAATGGGACGGCGAATATTTTAAAAGATTATCTAAATTAAATCGTTCACGATCATTTATCAATTTGACGACATCATCATATAAAGCGCTTCGCTCATGTTTAGCGATTTCTATAACAGCTTTAACACGCTCTTCTTGGTTATCAAATTTATTAGCTAATCTTTTTTTTAACATATCATTTTCAAGTAATAATTGTTTATTAAGATATTCTAATTCGCTAATTTTTTTTACAAGGCTTTCATATTCGGGATTTGGTAATGATACTTGAATTTCAAAATCGCGAAAATTCGTATCATTATTAGACGCTTTTTGTTTTTTAGTTTTTTTCATTGGAACAGAAAAAACTAAGTTGCCAATTTGCTCTAATTGCTCAAGAAAATAATTTTTAACGATTATATTGTTGTAATGTTTTTGACATACAGAGTAATCGTTTAAAGAAGAAAGCAATAAAGACAACTTTGGAAGATACTTAACCAAAATCTTTGCCTTATTCACTACCAGGGGAGCATTTGCATTTCGCCACTTTTGCATTTCAAGGGTTTCGCATTTCGCCAACTCACTCTCCGGATAATCTTGAACAAGAAATCCAAACAGGCAAGGTAAATCTTTGGCTTCTTTTCTTGAATTCGCCATGTCTATATGCTAAATATATGTAAAGTTGAAGTGGAAATAAAAAAAAAAAGGCTTTATAAACTTTCAGGGATCCTTGCGGATTCTAAAACTACGAACTTCGAAAAATGTAATTTAACGGGTATTTTTTAAAAAAAAATTTGAGCAATTTTTTTTTTAGGGTAACGAAGTCACGGTTTTTGCATTGAGAAAGATGATTAACCACCAATTAAATTTCGAAGAATATTCTAGATTCGATATCCAAATTTGGAAAAATACCGGACTGTAATAGCTGGACAGATAACTATCCCACAGCAAGATACTTGTAATGTTTGGTTATATACTTTCCATATATGTTCTATACAACTTGCTTCACGACTAAAAAAAAATTTTTTTTTTATTGCAAAAAAAACAAATATGGCAATTAATTTGACTTTTATCAGTTGGGCATTCACTTTTAAATTTTCTTTGTGCACAGTATTTTGGTCATAATTAAAATGCCTTCTGCATACTCCAAGAAGTTTTAGCTTGCCATCAACCTCATTAATGGCATTCATATCAATTTCCCATACACCAATTAGTTCTCTTACACTTTTATTACTAGTTTTATTATAGCAACATATCTCCTTATGGTCATTATCGATTATAATACATGATGTAATTAGTTTTGCTTTAACTGAAGGAATTTCTTTAATGAATTTGCCACCAGTTTTCTCATAGTTTATTTTTTGTAAAACTGATATGTCTTTTGCATTAAATTCTTTCCACAGATCATTTTCAAGTTCTGTTAAAACTAAGGCTTGCTCATATAAAACTTGCTCGAAGTCAAATATAGAGTCATTATTATTGTTTTCATCATTCGACGAAATTAGGATATCCACCAAGTATTCTTGTGATTCATCTTGTGAAGAATTAATATCTATTTTATTTGATATAAGAATAGTGAAAGTATTTTATTATGTGTTGTTTTGTTTGATGTTTATTATTAATAAACTTAAATTTTAAAAGAAAAATATTAGTCATCTTTACTATTGACAGAGTGTGGAATAAATTAAATATGTAGCTGGTAGGGTAATAAGATCAGAATAATAAGTTATACAGATTATGCACTAGATTCACAAAAAAAAGTCAGATACTTTTGATTTGAATTTTATTAATTATAGAATCGAATTCTGAAAATTTTATTAAAAATAAAACATTGGGGTTTAAATACATTTATGAATTCTTGTAATTATTAAATATAAATTTCTTTTTATATACAGTTGATAGAACTTGAATTATGATTAAAAGAGGAAAAGACACATCTTATTAATCTCTTCAGGAAAAATTTATTCCTAACTACCAAGACATATCTTGATACAAATCTTTTGATTTCATTGAAAAAATTTCCTTTTTTAAACAACCTATTTTCAAGACATAAAATTCTCAGTATCACCTTAAATTAAAAAGTTCAGATCAAGTAGATGTTTTCTATCAATACTCCTTCACAAAATTATTAGTAACAGATACCGAAATTAGAAATGATGATAATTTATCATAATATACCTAATACTAAAAAAGGTATAGTGTTGGGTTTAAATATATTTATGAACTCTTTCAGTTATTAACTATGAATTTCTTTTTATATACAGGTGATAAAACTTGAATTATGATTAAAAGAGAAAAAGACACATCTTTATTAATCTTTTTAGAAAATTTTTATTTCCAACTACCAAGACATATCCCAATACAAATTTCTTGATTTCATTGAGAAAATTCTCTTTTTTAAACAACCTATTTTTAATTTCCAAATAAAAGTTTAGTTCAGGCATATATTTTTATCAACTTGATACATTATTCATAAGATCATTATCAACAGATACCGAAATTAGAAATTATAATACTAAAAGGGTATAGTATGGATCTGTCAATCACATTAACAACAATTCAAATTTTGTGCTTAATAGTTAATTGGTAAGAAAAGCTAACTAAAATAGAATTAAGTATAATACAGTAATTGTAAACTAGTTTAGGATAATAGGAATAAATAGAAAATCACAAAGTAACTAGTAATGCCGTATGTCTTGGCCAAAGCCAAAATTTACTACTAAAGTATGAAAGAAAAAATATTTTTATAATTGAAATCAGTTTGTAATAAATAAATAAATATATTTATTGTAATTATATCAATTATTAAATGTATTACTTTATTTAGTTATTTAAATTTACAATAAGTATTATACAATTTATTAAATATTTTTTAATAATTAAATAAAATAATAAATAAATAAATAAAATTTATAAATTATCTGGTTATCTAATAATGGGATGAATTAATCTATCTGCTATTGCATATTGCTAATGCAAAATTAGTATCTAGTTTATGTGTTTCAGTTTTATAAAGCTTTTTTTAATTATATCCCATTCTTATATAATTATATATTATATAATATTAAAACATATCAGAACAAGAACAAAAAACAAAATATTTGATTTGCACGAATACCTCTTCTAAAAAATTTTCTTGATATTAAAAAATTAAGACTAATTACCAACAATAATCGCTAGGAACATGCTAATTTTTTTTTAAAACGTACACCCACAATGCTTAGTTTTTTAACAAATCTAATTATAGCGCTTTTCTATGCGAATGGAAATATATGATGTTTTTGGTGATCTAAAAACTAATAAAAGACATACTTTTGCAGATTAACTTAATATTTAAAAATATTACTTTTAAAATTGATAACTTAACATTTTTGCTTCTACAAAGTTCATATAGATATTATAATATCTCCAGAGTAATATTTCTAGAATCTACAAATCTAAAATAAGAAAACTTAACAGTTAGTGCTAGTATCATATAATTTCGTATTCTAGGCTACTTTTGGGCTAAAAAATTACAAGAATATAGTAATTCGTAGAATATCACAGGAGTATTAACTATTAAATTATAAAGCAAAATATACAAGTGGTCTACAAAGCTAAAAAAGACTTATGTTTTATAAATTTTCCACAGGAACTACAAATCTAAAAAAAAGAAAACTTAGCAGTTAGCATTGGTATCATATAATTTCATATTCAAAGCTATTTTTAGGCTAGAATAATTAATTACTTACAAAAATGTGGCAATTCGTAGAATAATGCAGAAGTATTAACTGTTAAATTATAAAGTGAAATGCAAGTAATCTACAGAGCTAAAAAAAAGACTTATGTTTTATAAATTTTTCACTTTTATGCTGATTAATTCCAGATTTAATTACTACATTTGGGTCAAGATTATTTACAACTACATTATAAACCGTGGACAAAACTTATACAAGCATTTATAGGAAGCCACAGAGTGTTATAACTATAGATGCCACTGAAATTGATTTTTAAAAAAGGCCTATTTCGTCTCCATTAAAATTTTTTATAAGAAAGAGCAAATAAAATTTATATATTTATACTTCTTATAATTTCGTCTTTTCAAAAAAAGTGTTAAAAAATTTCATCTTTTAAGTAAAATAGGTCAAAAACAATTTTGTCTTCAAATTTTAATTTCGGGTTTTAGACCCTGAAATAATTTCGTCAGCATGTATAGTTATAACCAAAAAAAAAAATTGTGAAATGTCTCAATGGCTTAAAAATCTAAAATTTTATGAATTTTTCTTATATATTAATTAAAAATTTTCTATATATATGCAAATGTAATAATGATTATCTCTGATATGCCGTATAACTGATAGTAAACTTTTTCTTGATATATCTACTCGAATCTGAGTTCAACAACTCCAGTGTAACTTCTGGTCTTCTACTAGCATCTTATCTCACCCTAACCCCATTATCAATAGGTCTAACAGACATACTATCAATTTCAAAATTATACAACTTCTCATACACATAAATTAGACTATTAGCTCTAATCTCAATACAACTATTTCTTTTACAATTTAAGAGAGTTCTACTTTTCTTGAATTAATTCTGTCATCACATCCTAATTATACTACTTTAAAAAACAATTATGTCACCACTATACCTCTTTCTTGATCAACTTACTACTTCTAATAATTTTTGTCTTCTTAACTAAAAGCAAATCTCTTCAAGACTTAATAAAATCTCTAAAAGAAAGATATCTTAATGGTTAAACTACTAGAAAACTCTACTACAAACTTTTCTGCCAACTATCTTATCTTTCCTTTTCTACAACTACCTCCAACCAATTACTATAGTTATAATACTGGCCATTTCCAAAAACACTCTAAACCTTGGCTCATTTCAATATTTAATAATCAAATTATTGTTGGCAAAGCCTATTGCCAATCTACAAACTCTGGATACATACTAATTACCCACTAGCAATATAACCTTACAACTGCTTATTTTTCTTTATACCTTTCTCCCAACACAACCTCTCAATGCTGCACTAACTGCTTCCTTAATTCTAGTCTTATTAATAGCAAATATACTATTCTAATCCCAACTAGCTACTCTATTAAATTCTTTGATAGACTCTATCCTGATAAATCAATTAATTTTAATGCAAACCCTCTCAACCTTATATACTCACTTCAACATCAAAATACTACTCTAGCATATTTTTTCCCCAATCTTATTATACAAATCTTACAAATTCTTTCTATATTTCTAGCTAATTCTGCCTATAATACTCTTTAAAATATTGCTAACAACAATTATCTTTTAAATAATCTCATATTTTATACTGATTAATCTGTCATTAGTTTTGAAAAACCCCAATGCTCTATGAGAATCAGTTGGCTACAGATTGATAATAGCAACAATATTCTTTATATATTTTAAGCACAAATCTCTCTATGGCCATATTCTTTTAAAGCTGAATTATTTGCAATTTTATTTACTATATACACTGCCCCCAAAAACTGTCATATTCAAATCTTTACAGATTCCCAATCTGTTATATCAAAATACCTTAGTCTAACTCAATATCCAATTATCTACAACTTTTCTAACATACTATACTAGTCTATATAGAACACACTTCTTAATTTTTCTCGATCCTATAACTTACAAATTATTTTTCATAAAATCAAAGTACACCAAAACAACATATTAAATAACAAAGCAAATAAATTAGCTTGCAATTACCTTAACTCTCCATATCTTGTATTTAACTCTAATAATATTTATAACTCTTTGTTTACTCTACTTTTAGAAGGCTACTCTCTTGAACTTCTTACTTGCCATAGTATTCGAACTTTATAGCATGCAAATATCTTTGCCCTTTGGTTATCCCAAAACTATTTTCAACCCTGAATAAAAATCTCTCAATATTTTAACTAGAGCACAACCTGGCTCTATCTTAACAACAACCAAAAAGTCTTTAATTTTGTCTATAGTTTTTAGTTCTCTACTTTCAAAATATTTAGAATTAAGCTTCTTACTGACACAGGTAAAAAAATGTTCAACCAGTATAATTACTGATTGTAAAAAGATTTATAAATAAATACAAATAGGCATTCTTATTGTAAACTGGTAAAATACCAATTTGAGAATATTTACTATATTATTTATTGCCTATTGCAGTCAGATAATGGCGGGAATCAGAATAAAATAGGCTTCAATGGAACAGCCTATTTGAATTAGTTTATTAATCTAAAATTCTGATTTTTTTATATTAATAAATATATTACAATCAGTAAAATTCTGATTAAACAAGTTTTTATTTTATTGATTATCAATATGATTATTACCAATAGTATACTAATTAAAAACCAAAATAATTGCCGATTGTATTAAATTATACAGATAAGATAAATACAATTAAAAAATAATTTACAATCAGATTACAATCGATTGTATATAATTGTATGCGATTTTATAGCAAAGATCTAATCAAATTCTATGAATTTTTTTTTATTTGAATTTTATAAATATATAGAATTCAAATAAAAAAAAGTTTATAAATTTGATCAGTTGCTTGCTGATATATCATCGCTCAAAGTTTTTTGTTAAATATAAGCTGCACTAAATTTTCTTTAAAACAAATACACAGAGTATTTCTACAGAAACTATTATCAGTTAATTTTTTAAAGTACATAAAAAACAATGGAATATATGATTATTTGCTAATACTTTGGGCATTTGGTACTAGCAAATCACTTTTAAGTTACAGGTTTAAATTTAAAACATGATTAGTGATGCGACCCAAACTATTTGGAACATCCCAAACCATGTGACAAGTAGTATATTAGTGGTTGTGGCTGTCTTTATTCTTTTTGCCGAAACTGTGTGATACTAATTATTACATTGTTTGGGGTGTTCCAGATAATTTGGGTCGCATCACTAACCATGATACTATTGTAACGGTTGTATTGGGAGAGCGAAACGGTTATAGACAAATA